GGAACTTTGTATCTTAAAGGCCAAGGGGTTCAGCCCTGAAAGTGAAGGCAGTATGTCCCGTTGAAGCTCTGGTGTCTATATACAAGTTCACATGTTGTCGTGGTAACAAGATTTCAGATCACACAGCTGTGGAGAGGAATATAGTGGCTTTGTTTCTCACCCTGAAGATGTAAGCACTTGGTCTCCGAAACGTTGGTGTATCACAACCCGTGTTAGGAGCCCGATTCGCTTGTACATACGCACTGAAACAAACATACACACCCACCTACATGCAAATATGACTTTACAATGCTATGAGATTTGTTTCGCTTCTTTATTGATCTCTGATGTATTTTGTCACATGGCAGCCATAAAGACAGACCCAGAAATGACGCAATGAACGTCCTCAACACTAAATGTGATGCTGTGTGATGCTCCAGCTACGTTTCTTCTGCACGCCCCACTATTCAAATGGTGACCTTGAAATGTGGTTTCCATTCCACTTGCCATTATACAGGATACATTTCCTTGTTTCGTTGGGACATGTGCCTGTTTCATGTCCTCCTCACATTCAATTTTCCTCCCACTCTCAGTTCAAACCGGGAAGGCTACAAAGCGTGAACTTGTGAGCAAGTGATCATGACTCCATACGTCCCACAGTACATCGCGTACCGTCGCTCTTGGATGTGAACACCGAGTAGTACATGTTGAAGATCATAAATTATAATCTTTATCATTATGGAAATTTTTTATGCTCTCAATATTTCCTGGAGCTCAGATCAAGATCTGGAATAACTTGCAAATAAATTCGTGTGAGATTTCTGGAACGCACGGTGATGGTCATCTTCTGGGTTGTAACGTGGGTGTACGAACGTTTCATAAGTCCTTGCTGAGTCCATCATCAGGGCGATGATTGCCACTCACGACCTCTGAAATGTTTGTAAACTTCTACGACCCAGAAGACAATCACCAAAGAAACACCAGTGATATATTTAGGTTCCCGCTGAGTTAATATCAGTTTTTGGTCTTCTAAGTTGTGGTTTTGTTGGTGGTTACAAATTGTTTCAACGCGTCCTGAAGATGGAAACGATATGTGTCT